AGGTCGGAGGCCGAGCCGGACGTTGATCAATCTGATCGGCGGCCGTCGTTTCATTTCGGCCTCCTGAAAGGTCGGAGGCCGAGTATTTTCGAACCGACAAAGGTACTGGTGGTTTAAGCATGTGAAAGGAAAGTACAAAGCCGTCGGGCCAACTCAGATCGAACTGCACTTTGGGATGGAAACCAAGAACACCTCTCGACTTCTTGACCCCGCTGAAAAGGCTGGCACTGCCAGAGTAAGAACACGTCAAGAGCAGTCGTCTGGTAGATTTTGAAACTGGTACGCCAGCATCAGTGGAGGAGTCCGCTTTCCATGGGCATGGCTCCACTACACAGCCTTCTAAATGTATTTGAAACTGGTAATAATGGTCCCAATACATTCAAAATTTTGGACTGTGCCAAATGTATCTGGTGCAACTCGTACTCCAGATACATGTTGAATGTTCCATAGTGGAGCGAGCCCGCATGTCTTGCATACTTAGCCCTCTGTGTATGAATATCTCCCGAACTGCCACCCAGTTCCGGATGATGGCTCTTGTTCTTCAATTTTGGACTTTGTCACCAAACATAGCACACCCTTATAATGAATGCATATAAGCCATATTTCCGGTCACGTACAGCCAAAATGAGGGAGGGTGCGTTGTGTTCGGGGGAAGATGGTAGTACATATTTCTGTCAGATAGAAGGCCTTATAATGAATGTATATAACACATATTTCCAGTCAGGTACAGCCAAAATGAGGGTCATTGGGTCACGTTTTTTTTTTTTTTTTGTGACGAAGTCATGCAAAGATGTATTATGTACAGCCTACCGTTTTCACCCGAATAGAACATACAGCGAAAATGAGGGTCACTGGGGTGATGGTCACGGTTTTTTTTTGTGACGAAGTCATGCAAAGATGTATTCTCTGTGAGATGTACAGCCTACCGTTTTCACCCGAATAGAACACCAGATCATTAGAGCTGTATTTGGGTCAACTTTCAGTCCAGATGCAGCGATAATGACTGGGCGTTCTATTCCGGTGAAGACGGTAGTACAACTGGTCATCTGGATGTGTATCCATGATTTCCCGTACGTTGTGCTCATGTTAGGGCTTCATCCCACTATCTTCATCTTATATCAAGTTACATGTATCTGACCGCATTTACGGCCGCAACTGGATGTATACGCCCATAAATAAGTTAAAAAAAAGGTCCTAACGTCTTCACCCGAATACATTATACGTGGGCGTATTGAGGCAACTTTATGTCCAGATCCGTTATGTCCAGTTCCTACGATAATGACCGGGCGTTGTATTCAGGTGAAGACAGTAGTGTGCTGGCATTCTCACATGAGGACTTTCTTGGACGTATCTGACCTCTTTTACGGCCATGCCTGGATGCACCTGACCGGAATTACGTCTACAGAGAAGTTGAAAAAAGTCCCAGTGTGAGTACGCCCTGAGTACGCCCACAGTCTACCATATTTACCACATGATTCCCAGGTTTTGATATGTGCTTGATGGGCCTTCAACATCCAGATGTCATGCAGTCTATGACCCCCCCTGATATTCTTTTTTTAGTTTCCAATGTTTTTTTTTTTTTTTTTTTTTTTTTTTTTTTTTGATTCAGACCATTTCTCGGTGTATGCATGTCATCCTTGCACAGGGCCCCTTTTGCTAATTACCCTTCTCTAAATCATTCCAATTTGAACGGTGTCCAGAAGTGTGTTTCCAATGTGCCTCTGACGGACTGAGTCGATGATTTGGGTTGTTCGTTGAGATCCATGCTGCGCTTGGTCGAATGAATTATGATGCGGGGCCAGGCTCTCAGTTCCTTTTTTTTCTTTATTTTTTCTCTTCAGAAAAAGGCAGCTCATAACATCACTCATCTGATTCCTTCGGGATTTGAACCTGTGATCTGTTTGCTAATAAAAAAGTTACATGTGTGTGGCATTCAGCCACGTGGGCTGAGCCAAGCTACTCGTTCTGACTTGGTTTTGCGTCATCCATCTATTGGTTGATTGTTCGACTGTCAATCGCCGAAATCGGTTGAGCAGGAGCTACCGGACGACCCGTTGTCTGTGTGTCGAACACCTGCAGTCGGAGCACCAAGCACCAATAATCGATCCTCCAGGTTTTTTTTGAACTTGCCCTCCAGCCAGGACTCTCAGAACTTCTATGTGAAAAAGGGCTTCTTCTTCGTCTTCTTCTTCTTCTTCAGCGTCTTCTTCTTCTTCTTCTTCTTCTTCTTCTTCTTCTTCTTCTTCGTCGTCGTCGTCGTCGTCTTCTTCTTCGTCTTCAGCGTCTTCTTCTTCTTCTTCTTCTTCTTCTTCTTCTTCTTCTTCTTCTTCTTCTTCTTCTTCTTCTTCTTCTTCTTCTTCGTCTTCTTCTTCTTCTTCTTCTTCTTCTTCTTCTTCTTCTTCTTCTTCTTCTTCTTCTTCTTCTTCTTCTTCTTCTTCTTC